GGGATTGAGCTCAGGACCTTGCATTTGCGAGGCAAGCAGCAGAACCACTGAGCTAAATCCCCGGCCCTTGTGTCTCAGATTTAGTATGGGCTTCTCAGTGGTGGCACAGAGTTGGCTCTTGACTTCTTTATCCAATCTCTTCCTTTTAGACCAACTATTCCCAAAAGACAGAGAGAACTATTGGGAGCCATTCTACATAATTTTGGGGGAAAATCACAGTTAAATTATGATTAGGCCTAGTCTTCTGCCTTCAGGCCAGCTATGACATGCCGAAACACAACTGTATTTTTGGCTCTGATCACAGCTAAGACCTCATTGGTCCTGTGATGCTGTGACATTCAAGGGCAAGATTACATCAGGTGAAGACACCCTGGTTTCTTGAGAACCAAGTAGTAAGAGAAAGGTTTCACCTGAGGAGGGACAAATCCCTTATCCACTTAGCTCATCCCACCTGCTGTCGTTAAGAACGTCCTTGCTCATCTCACCATCCTCATCAACATGAGCTCCTCATCCACCTAAGATCCTCAGCAGCATAAGATCCTCATGGTGACAGCATTACTGCCGCCCTCCAAGGAGACATCTGATACTTCTTCCAATGATAAGATCCTTGTCAGTTATTGTTACTCCCCATGAACGCAATTGGCAGCTCAGGTGCCTTCATCTTTGCTGCCCAGAGCAGCGCTGATCAGACCCAGAACCCAGCCTCCTCACTAAGCCTCTTTTCCTGTCTTTATTCTTTAATTTGCCTTGTGCTGTCATGGCTCATAGGAGACCAGGACCCACTTCACGGGTTCTGGTAACATCCTCTTTCCCTGTTCCCTACAAAAAAAGCCATAATCATGGGTACCAGTCAGGGTAACAAGAAAGGCATGGATTGTGGGGAAAATTATCCTTCAACTAATGCTCTGACCTCACTAGACAAATAATAAGAACAAGATAGAAAAGAACCAACTGTTTCTAAGTAACCTGACCAACCCAGAACAAAATCCAAGAATGTATTTAGGAAAATAAAGCTGTCTAGCACCCAAGGCGGTAAAATCTACAAGGCCTGATAGCAAGTCCAAAGTTTCCAGGCATGGTAAAGAGGCAGGAAAACATACTCCATAGTGAAGACATCACAGCCTAGCCCTGCAGTCGGACTGCAGGAATGCACACAGTGGAAACAACACCGACCACCCTGAAGTCAACAGCAAATGGCAAACAGGAGAAGGCATCAGTAAATAACAAAAATTCATGTAAGATACATCAGTCATCAACAAACATAATGCTGATCACTAGACATTCAAAATTTTGCTGCCCAGATGGAAAATGTGGAACTACATCATTATTCAGAATTTGTACTTAAAAGTGGAACTGAGGCAGGAGGTTGAGGAAGGAGAACTGCTTAAGCCTAAGATTTAAGAACAGCCTGGACAACACAATGAGATGCTATCGCAGAAGAATGAAAGAAACAAAGGGAGAGAGGGAGGGGAGCTTGATAGCCCTTCTAAGTCAGCAGTGGTTTGACGGGGTCTGAGTTGATGTGTGCTCGATGCCGTGCACTCCCAGGACAGTTTGGGGATTTGTGACTAGCTCTGCGTCCCAGACACACCGACAGGACATTGTGGCTTTCTGAAAGACTGTTCTGCCTCAGCCTGGCTGTGCCCACCTCAACGTGACAGGAACAGCCCCTGTGCCCCACGGCACTTGTCACTACTCCAGCATGGGTTAGCGTCCCCTCGCCCTCTGCTCCCACACAGGCCCTGTGCCTCTTCAGGGAATACACAGCCTGACTACGGCCCTTGTCCAGGAAGAGCCCGAGGCTGCTCAAACCAAGGGTGTGTGTAGAGGGCCTTCATCGCAGTGTGGCTGATACCCTAACCCCCACTGATGGTGTCGTGGTCATCAGGGTCAGAGACCCAGGTGAAGAGACCTCAGTGGGCTCATGTGTGCCTCTGCCAGGGGAAGACACAGGAAGGCCATGGCCGGTGTCCCTCTCTGCTGCCCTCATGGACACTCCATCCTTCCTCCCTCAACCACATCCCCAAGCTGACTGACTGAGGCTGGACCAGCAGGTCTGTGACACAGCAGGGGTCTCATGCTTCCTCGGGGAGACTGAGCTGGAGATGTCCCCAGCAGTGACACTGTGAAAGTCCGTGCATCCTGAAAGAAGAGCCTCCTTTGGTCCCCGGGCCAGCTGCTCTCACATCTGTCTCTGGGCTGCCCAGCGTCCATTTCTGGGGAGGAAAACTGCAGCCCTCATGAAAGCCAAAGTGCAGCTTTCTGGCCACAGCAGGGCCAGCCAGGTGCTCATGGAGTGGGGGACCAGCACCCAGGGAAGGTCTCCAGCAAGGGAAGAAGCTAGGGACAGGCAGACTGGAGGGCAGGATGAGATACACGCTGGAGATGGGGTCAAATGGCACATCTCTGCCTCAGAGTGGCTGTGGACAGACTGCTCAGGCGAGCAGAGAGGGACCTACACGAGTGCCTTTACCTAAAACGGCTCTCAGGATTAAAGATTAAAGCAGAAAATTTGAATTCAGCTGAAAGATCAGAAGATAACCTTTTGGCATTACCCCAGAAAGTAGAATGAAAAACAGAGGTGGTCAACAGAACAGGAAACGTGAAACACGGGACTGGTGTGGGGCCACAGCTGAGTTTAGGTTCACAGAGGGGACAGAGGAGGGGGGACAAAAAGAGCTCAGGCTGCAACAGACACAGTTCCTCCAACACCTGCCAGGCAGAACTGAGGGTGCTGGGGCGGGGGGCGGGCCAAGGCTCCTGCCCTGGGGACCCTGCCCAGAAAACACCTGTGTCCTTGCAAACAGCCTCAGTGCAAATCCAAACTAAACAACACCGAGTTCGACCTCACTCCAGGAAGCGCAGCCGTCATCAAGAAATCAATGCTGGCGAGGCTAAGGGGAAGAGGAGCCCTCGTGCATTGTTGGTAGGAGCATAAACTAGGAAAACCATTGTGGGAATCAGTAAGGAGAGTTCTCAAAAGGCTGAAACTAGAAGCTCTGTTTGACCCAGCTATTCCCTTGTAGGTATCATCAGAAAGAGTAACACATCATGTTACAGTGATCTGTGCATGCTCAAGTTTACAGCAGCACGATGCCTAACAGCTCAATCTTGGAAGCAGCCTGCGTGTCTCTCAAGACATGAGTGGATAAAGACAGTGTGGGATTTACACACAGTGGAGCACGACTCTGCCATAAAGA